TAAGAGAATCTGCCACAGCTGGCAGCACATCATAAGGCTATGTCACTTGCAGAAAATCTCCACCTATTAAACAATAAAAAGAGCTTCATATCAATTTCACAAAATTGCATCAATTAGATGTTTATGGGCAAACTATTGCTTTCTTTTGCCTCCTTCCATTTATAGTGTTATTTGTAAATAAATGCATTTACACAAAAGTCTGAAAATTACAGCAAAACAGCTTGTTGGAGAAATTGAAGGTAAATATGTGGAAAATATTTTCATGTGGATCACATGGAATTACTCTTATATCACAAACAAAAAAGGGAATGTAAGTTAACTTTAAGCATCTTTTTTAGTTTGTTTTTTTTTTTCCTCTCCACTCTCGCTTTCTTACATGGTATTTGGCAAAAAAAGACCTTCTCTACTTGTGCTCACTGTTTCTATTTGTAATTCACTACTTAAGAGCTTGTGCTGCTTGAAGCCTGAGTATTTACCTATGCTAGGATGCTTGAGTGGCACTGTCTGTGCCTGATTTAGATTAGATGTCTATTATGTAATCTTTTTAGCTCATTTCTCTTTTTTGATACATAGTGATTATTAGGCATAGCTATTATTTAATATAGAGATCCATATTTTCAGCTACTTCATGGGCAGCTGTAAAGTTAATGTTTCTACATTTGCCAGCAATTCCCTACATGAGGAGATACTAGGTTTTGCATAGGAAATACCAGTGGTATAATTGTTTTCTTTTTTTTTTTTTTTAATTCCTTCTATAGAATTATGTAACATTTTCCAAGACATTCAGAAATGCAATAGATAGCAAAATACAAGCTAAGTATTGTTAGCAATGCATAAAATGCCACTATAAATTTATATTAGTGTGACCCATTCTATAAATTGTTCACTTCTTAGCCATTGGCTTGTATAAGAAAATGACATGGTTCTTTACTCTGATACAAATAAGGACATTTTTCAAAGTTGAAAATACATCTATGTTGAAAGTATTCTTATATTTCATTTAAATTTTGTTCATGTTTATTCTTAACATTTTACATATTTTCCATCTAATATTTACACATTTGTTATAACTAATCAGCTATTATAAACAAACCTAGGAACTAATCAAACAGTATTTATTAATGTAAAATTCATAGCAAAACCTCTTCAAATGTGGCAATCTGCTGCAGGTAAAATCTCTGTCACTTCTGGTATATATTTATATATACATATATATATTTGGTCACTATTGCATACTACTTCATGTTTTATTTCATATACTGCTGCTTTGGTATCAACTGCATGTACTTAGTCTTGATCTGTAACAAGCACCTAAATGTAATATGAAGTCCCTGTTAGAAAGTGCCTTCATAGGAATATACCTACAATTTACAAAGTATATGCAAAATTGCAACAGAAAATCAAAGGAGCAAATGTATCACCCTGTGTCCGGCTCTACTGCAATGTCCAGCATGCTTAACAGGTGCACAGAAGATTTTCCTCTGCATCTCTGTTTCTTTACTTCCTGTAATTCACTAAGTGGAGAACAAAAGTATCACAAAACCTAGTCCTGGATAGCCATTTATATAAACAGATACATTGATGGCATTTATATGCAAGGATAGCACATGGATACATCGCTAAGGAAACCTGAGCAGGAATCACTGGATCTTCCTGGGTCACTGAATAGTTCCCTCTTGCACTTTTTTTTGTTAGCTTATGGATGTGCCAGTCAAGACTTCTTCCTCTCTTGGTTCTTATTTATAAGGAGAAACAAAAACCCTCCCAGTGCTAGTCATGCTCTTTGACCTTGTGATCTAGGGTCTAAGCTGACCAGCAGAAAACTTCAGTAATTGCTATATTTATCTGTGCTAATGTGTTTTGCTGTATCTATCTGAAAAAATATACTACTTACCCCTCTGCCTCCCCTTGATTAGCCACAGGCAACACAGAAAAGAACAACAAAGTGTTTCAGAGATTCATATCAGGTGTACACAGTATGTCATCTACATTATTTGATATTTCAGCATATTTTGAAAACATTTAAAATTTTTAATTCTCCTAAGTACACTAGTATTACTGGATTGAAAACTTTTGGTGGTACCCTAAAGATTACAAAGATGATGGCATTTTCTTCTTAACATATGCTTTCTTTAAAATATGAAGAATATACTGAAAGTAGGGCTTTCTGGACACTTGAACTCGTCTTTTTAGGGTTATGTGAAATCTAAGAAAAAGGGAGGTGGTGATAGGATGGATAGGTTCAAATAACTCCAGTATCCTTTGCAAATGCTGATTTTATTTAATGTTCCAGGATACAGCCAGACTGAAATAAAACATGTCACCTATGAATTTGGATTTTTTTTCTAAGAGCTATGTTTTGAAACGAGCTAATGATTTGAAACAACAGAAGTTTGCAGGTTGGCTGTTCAACTGATGAATCTTGCATTTTGGAAGTAATTCATGATGATAATTTTATTCATATTCACATTACTTGAACTGGCTAGTTGGATTTGTGCCAATTACTATTGCCAAAACAATTGTGACACATTTTTGATATGCGAGTAAAAACATCTATTTTGGAAATTTTTGACTAGTAAATGTTGACTTTTTCCACTTAAACACAAAACTAACAGCTAATTTCTCATCCTGTTTAGAACAACAAAAGTGTGTTGTGGCCTTCTTCCTTGCTGTCCAGAAGTCTTTTAAAAAATATATATTGTCCCCAGACTTTAAGCATGAAAGTCAAAAAGTTTCTAAATTATATGAGGGACCAGGTGTTTGTCAAGCTGATTTCATAGTTCTTTAATTCCTGGATACTGTTAAGCAAATGCATAGAAGGCAGTCTTATCCTCACTGGACCTGCTTAAATGCTTTAAAAATAGACTACTTTTGGACAAATTGATAATGTAACATATTAGAATAACTTGCTATAAAGTTAACACTAAAGAAAGGCAAAACTGAGTGACATTGAAGATTTTTACCAGCACTAATGTTTAAGGTTCAATTAAATGTAATGACAAATATAAAGTCACTATCTTTAAAAGCAATCTACTGATTTATTGTTAAGCTTCCATTAGCCAAAACTTCTAGATTTCTGTGTTGTACCTCCAACATTAATTGTTTGGAATTTGTTCCATCTAGCATTTTCAGTTATTCTCCTCCTAAGCAAATAGCTCCTTTACTTAAAAATATGCAACAAATCAAATAAATTAAAATTAATCAATTCTATTGGTATAGTGGTGTTTCTGAATGACTTTGAGGACCGTAAATTCAAATTAAGGCTTGCAGAACTTCTTCCTAGGTTTGACGACAAGGTACATTAGCAAAAGGAAAAAGGTAAACTAGTCACCCTTTATGCAGCACTGGGGATGCTTGCAAAAGTAACTGAACTTTGGCTCATGAACTGAAGGCTCATTTATTCTATAAATATATCATAAACTGGAGAATGAAGCAGAGATAGAAATTAATTGTACCTAATGTTAATATTCACATAAGGTTAAATACGATAGGAGTGGAGTAATAGGAAGTTAATTATTGCAAAACTTGGATGATAGGCATTCATTGCTTTCAATTTTATTCATAGTGTGCTTTGCTTGTTCTGATACTTCTTCACTTCAGGCCGTAATATGGGTTGTCAGATTCAATTTTTAAGGTAAAGGTGTGATGGATATATGCTAATTTATACATGTTCATTGAACATATTTTTTCCCAGCTGTTTTTAAACAATGAGACTGTACTACAGAGCACTCGTTCTCTTTCTGGCTTTAGTAATATTTTAAATAGTTACAAAAAATGTACAAAGTGCTCTATTGCCAATAATGACTGTTCTTCTCTTGCAAATATGAGGAATGCTGTTTTCCCGCCATTCTGTATTATATTTCATTTATTCACCAATCTAAACTTGTATAGTTTAGGTTGTGGTTTTTGCAGTCTGAATGAGGACCTAAGAAGTGTGAGGACAGGATTAAAGTATTGCACTTGACATTAGTTTCCTAAAAGCAGTCTTTGTTCTGCTGCTTCTCTCCATGTCTCCTACTTCTCAGCAGCATCTTATGGCTCATTTATAACCTACTGGATTTAATACTTGAAAATCTGATTTCTGTATTTAGTATTCATGCTTTACCTTTTGTCTTCAGCTGGTCAGCACTGTGAGGCTACACTTCATTGTCTGCTTCGAACAGAAAGATAAATATTAAAGGGATGTCAAATTCTTAAATATCCACAAAACTTGTAGAAGAGATGGAACCACATAACTGAGCATTGTGTAGGCATAATTTGAGTGTTAACAAAGTTTAGCTCACTGTGTATCAGCACTAATTCTGAGTTTATTATACTGATTTTCTTCAGAGGAATACTGCATTACTTCTAAGGTTCTATATTAAATTACTGGAAAAAAAAGAAAAAAAAATTCATATTCTTTCACTTTTTCAGTTGTAATGGTATTAGGACTCAATCCTAAACTAGAAATGAGTATTCACATAGGGAAAGAAGAATCTGATGTAATTTATTTCTGGTTGTGACACGTATACCTGATGGTTTAAAAAACAAAGAGCCTGCCAGTTTTGTGGTATTTTGTAATATGGTACCATCACTGCCAGAGAATTATGACAATCACATTAAATATTTGGTTGCATTATTGCAAACTTAGAGACTATTGAGACCATATGCTTAACTTCCAAAGCATGTGTTAGCTTTTCTGCTTTTTCTTTCCTAGGCTTCCTCCTCTACCTGTGTGTGTGTGACATAAAACAGAAAAAAAAAGAGCACTATTGCAATAAGTACAAGTAAGATTATGTGGTAGCTTTGACAATTTGTGTCAATATCCTTGTGGCCATGCCAAGGTTTGTGTAGCAAGATTTTTGGGGGTTGTATTTTGAATGATTCAGTAATCTCAGCTGGTGTAACCCACTGCTAGGGAGGGCAGTGAATTGATAGTAACAAGTTCTGTATTTATTTGGTTATTCTAAAGACTGGTTTAAAACACATAAAAAATTACTAAAAATTTATTTTTATTTCAGGTGGGAGATGAAAGAAGATGCAGATCTTGAAGATGAGGAGAAAGTTATGGTGGAACACTTAAAAAATGTTTATTTGACACCAGGCAATCCTGTCTCAGAGAATAAAGAAGAACAATTACCTTGACAGATTTTGGGTAGCATTTTTTTTCTGAATTCAACATGATTAACATAATGGCTTAGTTATAACTGACAGGGCTAGAAAGCTCAGGAATATGTATCTCCTGTAGGAGACAGTAGGAGTTTTAAACTAAAGAGTGTTCTCCTGTGATTGTCTAGTCACCCCATCCAGGCAGCAATTGTTCATACAAGTGTAAAGTGAGCAACAATATATGAAAATGTCAATGTCACAAAACTCTTGTTTTTTTGTATCTCAGTACTGTGTATCTCAATACTGTGGAGACAAAAACCTGAATGACAAACGAAGAATTGTTTGAAAAGTATAAAACTCTCTCTGAAAATGATGCAACTTTAGACACATGCTAAGCAAATACTCCTGGCTTCCATCCACCCCTTTGGAATTGGAGTCAGCCTGTCTCCAGCTAGTGTTGCTCAAGGACCTTTTCTCCCCTTTGGTGCTTGTTAATTAGATCACCTAAAATACATGAAAAGGGACAGGTATAGACCATAAATCTGCAGTCCTTTGTGAGTTGCTCCAGGATGAGTACACTTGGCCATTATTCCCAATCAAAAATGCATCAGCCTTATTACTCTTACAGATCCTAACTTAACATCCAGTGTATGCTATGTCTTAAAAGGCATATTACAGAGCAACTGCAAGTTTTGAGAAGCATCTTTTTCTTTAAAAGAATTATTCACAGGCAGTGATCAGAGGATTATCTTAGCAGTGAACTGAGAAAATTATAAATAATATCTATTTCTGATAAATACAGTAATTTTTTTTTTTCAAAATAATCCTGGTTTGATAATAAAATTTTTCTGAATGTTAAATATTTTTCTTACACACTCGTTGAAACTATCAGCATGACAATATTTTTTATACAGAAGGTGTGGTTAGTATTTCTTTATCTCTAAAAAAATAATTTCTAATTTTTCAGTTTGTTTCTTGAACTGGAAGTTAAATGGAAGTATTTTCTCTGCTTGATAAAGGACCCTCAGAAGATCTTGCTAAGGCTGCAACCTGTGCAGCAGCTATTCCTGTTCCCAGCACATTTTCACACAGCTGCTATTATGGATATAACTTAGACTACTTAAATAGGAGGAAGGCATATTTTCAAACCCTCCAGGGATGGTGACTCTACCACCATTCTACAGTTTCTGCAGTAAATAGATCCAAGCTCCAACAGACAACAGCCAAAGTGTCTGCACTGCCCTGAGTCACATCCATACTCTATCTAGAAGTGAGGCAAAGAACCATATTATCGGGATCATATTCAACAGGTTTGATCTTTTCCAGTTACTAGGTCAAAGAGAATGCTATGTCTTGACAAACTCAGGTTTCAAACTTCATTGATGGTGGAGCTTTGCTGCAATAGCATGTAACTTTTTCTTTTTAGGACCTTTTAGAAAAGTAGTATCTTCTCAGTTCTCCCAATAAATAAATACATTGATTAAAATTAATTCCATAAAACAATCATTAAAAAGCCTGAAGAATAATTAGCAATGCACCCATGAGTGTTCCTTACAATCAATAACTGTGTTGTTATGTATATTCTGTCCCAAATTTAATTCACTAGAGGATGGTAATGTGGTTATATAAGCAACTTTGGTAAATTTGATATTCAACTATTTTATCCTTTTTTTCCTGCAATTTGTTGTTTTGATGTAAAAAGTCTGATAACTTTTGAGTATCTGGTGTCCATAGAGAAGTAGGGTCATATAGTTCTTCATGGGACAGCTGACTGATTTGTTTTCCACCTCAGGAATACCTATCAGGTACCCTTGACAAACTTCTTGTTTCATTAATATTTGCTGTAATTTAGAATGTGAGTACTGTTGCCACTTATACATGGGTAAATAATTATTCTTCTAGAGTAACTATTACACAGAATTAAAGCAGTATAGGTCCTGCATGGGCAATAATTTCTGATTTAGGATCTGAACACTTCCACTCCTAACGTTCCACGTGAATTGTGTAGTATCTACGTTCTTCCACTGTTTTAAGTCGCCTTTGTTACCTGGCATAGCTGTGGGAGCTATGTTGCTATTGAGTTATGGGGTTTTTTATACAAACTGATGTATTTTGCCGCAGGTTTTATTTTCTTTGATTTCTCTGAACTTTTAATTTACACTTGGAAATCCACAGCACATCTATTTTGACAACCTACAAACGCCAGTACAGCCTAATCCTTCTCCAATCTGATACAGAATCTTAGAGAACCAAGAATTCAATAAAAGTAAAATTGAAACCAACCACTTGCAAGATTGTCATTCAAGAAGTGCAGTAGTTGTTTTCATTTAGATTTTCACCTCTGTGTAAAATCCGCTCTGAAATATCATGTTTAAGGAGTTGTTTGCTAATGTACAGGACACTTTATTGGTATGTAAATATATATATATTCTATATAATAAACATGTCTTAAATGGATTTTATTACCTAGATTAAGATTATGCTTCCCCTCTAGATAATGGAACAAACACTGGGGAGGTAAGAGGTTGAAATGGCCAGTGGGTTTTATTCTGGCATATGAATAGCAAACAGATTACTTTCTTTGGTAAGCCAGATGTGGCTTTGGGAAGGAAATTATGCTGGCAGGAATCCTACCTGCAGGGATGGATTAAATTCAGGAAATTGGTGGCTGAACAAGTGCTATGAAGACTTTTTTTTCAGGGACAAATGGGTTAGGCATCCTCAAACAGCAACAGTTTCTATTCTAGTTAAGGCTCTCTAATTTCACACATGCCCTTCCACTTTATAAATGAACAGACTGATAGAGGTTGTTGCTTAATGCAATGCAAATGTGTAATGTTAATCATCTGGCCTCCTCTACAGATAAATAATTAACCAGAACATAGCAGGCTTTATTTCCAAAAGCTATGTAGGGTCCTTATCGTTACTGACTGTACATCCACCACACTTGGGCATGAGCACACAGATATCTCCACCAAAAGGTGCACTTAACTACATAAAGGAAAATATATGAATTGTTTAGTTTTTTTGTTTGTTTGTTTGTTTTTTTAAATTATATAATACTCTGAACAGTCATCTGCTCTAACATGCATAATTTATTAAAAAATCATTTGTGGAGCTGAGGGATTGAGAGTTTGGAATGGAAAAATTGTAGGTATGCTAAGTACATTCTTGCAAAAATAAATCATGTAATCATATATTATGATGCAGTATTTCAAAATTCAAAGTGCAGTTAAATTCTTTGTCCATGTAACAGCAGGGAAATAACTTTGAAAGATTTATGTTGTAAACCCATATATCTACAGAGTAAATAGTAGAGCACGGACCATGAAGTTCTGTCAGTACTGTTGCTTTCAATTTTTGTTTCATTCCACCAAAACTTTTCATACCAGTATGGCATTTTTTGAACAACTGTATACAGGACCAAAGAATTAGGAGTGGGAACTAGAAATATAGATCATATATATTTAATCTTTACAACAAATGCAAAAGCAGTAAGTGAAAAAACAAAGACATAAAAGACTGTAAGAACTCCTGAGAACATACAGTGAGGCATAAGAGTTAATGTCACAACAGATTTATGTATGTTCAAGTTTCAGCAAAAACTGTTGAAGACAAATTTAAGAATATTTGTGTATCATACTTTTGGCACAACAGCAGGAACCAAAATAAATTATCCAGGAATGAGACATAAGAAACAGGGGGTAAATAACATGCCAAATAAGAATTCTGAATTAAAGAAAAAGCTTTCAAGCCAAAAGAGAGTTTTTTTCAGCCCTGCAAGAGCACTTAAGAACAGTGTTGTTTTTTTCAAGAGTTTTCAGTATTTCACTTATTTTTTTAAAGTGTCTAATTTAAGGAAAAGTGTTTCTCAAAAGTTAATACATCATCTTTGTAAGGAAAGCTAACCTATTTGTATTTTTCTTTAAATACATTCTCTGTATTTATGCACTATAAATGGTAAACAAAAAACCTATTCCATTGGGGTCAAGCCAAAAGAGCAAATGAAAAGAAACTGCAAAGGAAATTCTAAAAAGGATTGGGGTTTTTTTCCCATTTTCTTTTCTTTTGGGCTTAACCTCGCAAGAAACTTTTTTGTCCCAAAAGACAGAGGATAGCTTTTCCCAAGAATCACGCATCCTAAAGATTACTATTGTAGTTGCAACTGGTTGATGACAAAACTATGTCTTTTGTTTTTCTTTCTTTCATTTTTTTTGACTTTTTAAAATTAATCTCTGGAAATAGCTGTCATTAACAACAACAAAATCAAAATTAAGACTAAAACAAATTTATTTGTTTTCCAGATCTGGGTTTGACAAGAGCTGTGTTGAAATTGCTAAGGAGGGAGACCTGTAGTGTGCAAACACATTGCTCAGCTTTAAATAGTATCTTGTGATTTTCATGAATGAAAAGGTGATATAAAATGGTCATCAAAAGGACAATGCAGTTTTTCATATGATTCATATGATTCATATGATTCTGCTCTAGCCTGATACCTTTTGCATCCTTTTGTCACAGAAAAGTATTCCTAAACTGGATCACATCCTTCAATTTTAGGATGCAGAGCAAAGGTCAAGTGGAATAAACAGACCACATTTATTGCAAATTTAAATCCAACCCATGGAAACCAAAACTGACCAGTTTCAGTACACTCCAATAGCCCTGTTGTGAACTGTTTCCAGGGTTAGTGTGTCCTTTACCAGCAGAAATCTGACTGAGAACTAAAGATGTTAATAACTAACAGTGCCAGGGGCTGAAAGCGGAAACATCAGCACTTCTGAGCAAAGGACTGTGGTGTTCTACCAGTACTGAACTACAGGATGATTTAACAATTGTTTATGAAAGTTGCATTGCAGGATAGCAGCTAAATTCAGACATCCTACTTGCTACAATCATCTACTAGCTGCTTTTAAGATCCTGCCTACCTTTTCTTTGTCATCTGGAGGAGATAAAGTTTTAATTGTGAGCAGGTGGTATAAGAGAAAAAAAAAAAAAAAGGAAAGACAAGACACCTTCTGACATTCCAAATTTTTCATTCTATCTTGCTTTCTGTTTCAGTGTTTTTGTGCCACTTGAGGTTCTTCAGGTAGTTTTTAAGAAGACAAAAATATAAATAATATCACTTGAAACAAATAAAATCTAGGACAAGAAAGTGCACTCCATAACGTGCATTGCAGAATGGGAATAAAAAATACTGCATATTTCAGCTTTTTCCCTTTTATGCTTTGAGTCTTAAATTCACATAAGTTTCAAATAATT